CATGCTCGCTTGGAGATACGATTTTTATCTTCTCATGTTGAAAATCTTCTCGTGTTGAAAATCTTTTCAACACTCGAAGATAAAATCCGTATCTTCGCGCGATCCTGTAATATCCTCTATTTGAGGTCCTGAAACAAGCACCTAATAATAACGCTTAAAATTAGCAATCTTGATCTTGTTTAAGGCATTTTATCGTTTACAGTGAATGTAGAAAAGCCTTTCGAAATAACCACAACCTGACATACCTTAATTGTCTGCTTACATCGTTCTTAAAATACAATTCTAGCTAATTCTTTATTGCTTACCTGTTGCAAAATTCGCCAGGGAGAGAGGAGATACTACATTTTACACTAAAACAAGAAACGTTCCACACATTTCGACGGAATTGAAAAATTCTCCTCCAAGGGACCTCTAAGGACCAATTTCAGTTGAAAGGCTAAGGCCGTTTTCTAACAATGATTGGCAGGCCCATGGGTCCATTATTTGGCGTCTCCCCAGAGACCAGTTATTATACACGTGCAGCRTKGGTTGATGGGATATAGAGGTTCTTGRACTAGTCTCGTATTTCACAGGAAAAGCTATTTGGAGCACGCGCGTCAGTGTCACAGCGTTATCTCGGTACGAAAGGGAACATAATCTGGATTATAGAGTATTCAGGTCGTTTCAAATTGATATATTTTGATATATTTGATCGCGATTAAGGACGTCCGTTCTAGTAATTGTACAATCGTGTATAGTTCGGGTTGTAATAGAGAGAAGAACGAAAATTACGTAGTTGGTTAACCCGTACACGACGATACTACCCGGCGTGGGGGCCGGGTATCTAGACACTTCGTTGATCATATATCTTACCCTTAAGGTATAGGTCGTCAATGTAGCTGGCTATGTGTAATGTAGCTAAAGGTGGTTTTAAAAGTTTAGTAAACACTCGAGGGAGCGAAGATAAGCCATTCGGCAAGCAAATGTATCTATAGAATTCACCGAAAACATAGATATCTGCGCTGCGAAGTTTTTACGGCTACCGAGTAATATACATCTTTGAGGTCCAGTGAGACCATAAAACCGAATTTTTTTCGATTAATTTTAAGTCCATTTTAAAATGGTGATATGTAGAAAACTGATTTAAGAGATTTAATATCAACAAAGATATTGGATACAACTGCACATTGGCTATAGTTAGTTTTTCCGATTAACCCCGGCTTTCATCTAATAGCTTACACACTTCAGATTGGATAATGGCGGTCTCCGCAGGAGGAAATGGACGTGAGGTCTAAAGGTCACATGTGGTACTGAGTCAAACTCATTAGACTAGAGATACTATTTTACTGTCGATAAGATTTCAACATCAGGGAGCAGGTTGGGGTGAAATAAATGTTGGGTTGCGGTAATAGAATAATGTGGAGATATTTATTTATTTCACACCGACGTGCTCACAGTCTGGCCTTGTAGCTCAGCTGATAAAGCATCGGTAGTACAAATCGGAAGGTCGTGGGTTCGAATCCCAGCGAGGTCGGAAATTATTTTTTCCGAATTTATTCCTAAGGGTCTTTCTCCCGGAATTGCCTCCTTCTAAGCACTATAACTTTCTTTCATTTCTATATCTGTTCTATCATAGTGCCATGCGGTCCTCGTATTCATATCTTTAAATTTCGCTAAGCATTTAATTGACTCTTATAGGTTTTTAATTAAAATTGACTTCTCAGACCAATAAACTAAGTGCTTTACAAAATATAAAAGATGCCTA